AGCCAATTCCTATGGCGATGGGCTCACTCCCAAGAAAGGCTGTGTGCATCTATAGACACATATAGCACAGCTAGGCCTCGTCCCCTGCTCTCCACTCACAGGATTTGATTGTGAATAGCAGGAGCCAATGGCTCCTGATGCTGCCTCTCTGTTCTGTGAATGGAGACCTGCTATAGACAGGCATAGCGATAGACTGAGTGAGGACTCTGGGGCATTTTTTACCTTTTTGCAGTGAATGCATTAAGGTAAAAAATGTTTATCTTTTACAACCACTTTAACTACTGCAGAGAAAATGTAGGTCACCATTGGCAGAGCTGTAAAAATCTCAGGACTGGTTGGACAGAAATAAAAAGGCAGGCATGACATTTCTCATTTCATCTCTTAATTTATCTGTTTTTTCTGCAGTTCAGCCTTAAAACTTTAATACACATGGATAGGATGACTTACATTAATCTGATCACATTCACATACATATCTCTAAAAAAAACATCAAATACTTTCATTAGCCTTTTATTTCAGTCTGCTGGGACTGACTGATAGCAACAGGCTCTTTAGACTAAAGGATTTTATCAAAACAGTTCTTCAGAAGAATGTGGGACACAAAACCTGATATTAAGAGAACAACTCAACATCATGAAAACATAGAACAGAAAGTGGGCAAAAATGTGTCACATCAAAAGCAAACAGTTCAATAATAACTCAAAACTCATATATATTAAAAAAAAAACATCATAGCTTCTTTTTAAATCTTTGTGACTACAGGAAATACTTCACGGAAAGTCTTGAGTAGTCTTGCCAGGGGAATGTTAGGATCCACAATGGGGAATCTGGCACTAATGTGCATACCGCAGTCAAAGAAAAACAATATGGTTAAAGATGAGAGTGTTTATCACTGCTACTCGGCTCTCCTTCCTATCTTTAATCCCTTCTTCCGAGTTAAATATATCCTGCAGATCCCAGAGGATTCATTGACAGAATGAGCACAGGATATGACAAGTGCTACACAAAGATTGTATGCATTTATTATGTTTTATGAAAATGTTTCTTAGACTTGGGACAGTGACGGTTTTAAAATATTCACATTTTGTCCCATTATCTCGGTTTCGAATTTGAAAGTAGCATAAAATCTGAGAAATTACAGGAGAACACTGATAAAGTGAAAAACCTACTTTTGGATAAACTGTGTCAAGTAGGAATGGGATATCTCTTGACATAAAGGTAATCTATTGGGACAGTGTGGGAATGGTACTTTAGCATTTGGTTGGGGAGTCGAAGTTGTCAGAGCAAGGCTTTCAGCACCAAAAACAAAGAAAAAAAATGTACTCACTTTCCTGACCAGCACAAACAATACTTAGACACTCCCAGAAGAGGAGAGAGTTATGTGGAGCAAGAAGGGAGTGGGCTGTGCCAGGGAATTGACTCTTCTGCAGTAGTCAAATTCCTTAGCAAGCTCAAAGCCACAATGTAAATAAAAAATGTTTATAAAAATGAAAACACTGCAAGTAAGTATTTAAAATATTTGATTTGCCTTTGTTTTACCAGCATTTATTTTAAGTTGGTGACAGGGTCTCTTTAAAGTACATCCAAACCCTAAACGGTTGTTTCAAACTTGTTTCCTGCTAGAAACAATGGTGGTCCATTCCAGCACAAAATTGCTCTTGACCAGCTTCCTGCTAGTGACAGTGGTGGCCCATGTTTTGGCAATGTGGGTCAAAATAGCTGCTTGCAGTTCCTGCTAGGGGCAAATGAAACATTTTTACTATGCAGGATCATGATTGGGGGACAGTTGTCACCCCATTACAGTAAATGCCTAAACAATACAGTATGATCACCAGGTTTTTAATATGCTGGGGGTAGTGTGTACTGAGGGGTCCATGTTGAGGGGGTCTGTACTGAGAGGTCTGTGTGGTAAGATATCGCACAGCATTTAAAAGAAAAAACTTTTGAATTGACCAAAAAACGCTACTAAGATACCGCATGAGCTATTTTATCAAGTCATGCAGTATTTTAGTAGTGAAAACCATGCGTTAATGTTTCAGCTGTCAGCGGGGTTCCCCACTGACAGCTGAATGTAAAAGAAAGAATTGCCGGCAATTAAAAAAATAGTTTAAAAAAACGGCGTGGGGTCCCCCCTTCATCCATGCCAAGCCCTTTGGGTCTGGAATGGATTTTGAGGGGAACCCCACAACAAAATAAAAAAAAAATCCATACCAGACCCTTATCCGAGCATGCAGCCCGGTATGTCAGCAAAGGGGGGGGAGAATGAGCTCCCCCCCAATGCAGCTTGCCCCCAGATCCCCCCCCCATGTGAATGAGTATGGGGTACATGGTACCGCTACTCATTCACAAAAAAAAGTGTGGTGTGAAAAAAGACAGGAGAAAGTCATTGACAAGTCCTTTACTAAAAGAAGAAAAATAAAAGTGTATAAATGTCCCCCAAATTAGATCCAACATCAATCACGATGCCTGCCGCTACTACGCCACCGCTACTGCTTCATACAGTAGTGAGCACTGCACACACTGCGATATGCACTTTTTAGTGCTGCATTCTCTGTATTATACACTCCTGACGCCTGCACTCTCTGCCTTATGAGCTCCTGGCCCCTTTACTCTTTACGATACACACTTATGAACCCTGCACTCTTTTATGGTGTGTACTCCTGACCCCTGCACTCTCTGCATTATCTACTCCTGACCCCTGCACTCTCTGCAATATGTGCTCCTGAGCGTTGCACTTTCTGACCTCTTCACTCTGTGCCTTATGCACGTCTGAGGCTTGTAATAAAGACACTATGTTGTACATTTCACATTCCTGACTACTATATTGTGTATGCTGAACTTTTATAACATACTCCTGACCACTGTACTCCAATAATCCTGAATTTTTTCTCAAAGGTAGGCTGTGTGTAGAAAAGCATATTCAATGGAAGAGTTTCATTTATAAAAAAATTACAGTATTATGTTGATGGTATTTTCATGTCTGTTACACTCTTGCTTGTGTCACGGTAATTAAAGCATATTTTGTGGGTAGATAGATTGTGGCATATATGTGCTGTGTATAGGCGGAATAGCCTTAGCTTTTATTTTACCACGCCCCTTTAAGTTGCCCCCACTGTTTTTGGCCACACCCACAAATGCAGCATGCTGTCAGATGCACTTAACCCAACCGCTTAAAAAAACCTGCAGAATATTTATTGTATCAGGCGGCCTGTTGCATCAGTCTCTTAAGGCTACCAGTCCTCTGCCAAGATACCAACACTGAAAACTACAGACCCTAGCTGAGAGAGGTGGTCCATATCTGCTACACTGTAAATAGAGCTCCGGATTCTGTCATCAAGGGGTTATGTGTTATAAACCCTGACCTATTCTTCCCTGCTGGATTACAGAATACCTTCATAACATAAGAAGGAGTTTTATAATCCAGGAAGGGAGAACTCAGACAGACAACACGGTTTAGGATTACAGTACAGTCGAGGAACTGTGCGGTCAGCTGTTTTCTTTACTTTCCACAATTGTAAAGAGACAAAACATTTGAAATTGGCATGTATTGCTGAGATATAATGCATATAGTTTTTTAATTGTGCCCAATCATACACCTTATGTTTAACACAATATTATAGCAGGACTTGTAGCCATGTCTACTGGTGCTGATAAGGAATATATGATAGTCTTCACTTACGCTATGTGGGTGCCAACCACAAGAAGTGGGATATTTGCAGTATGTGCAGCTGTCAGGAATCGCATTTACAAAGTATAATGATAAAACGCTGGGACCAAGGCTACACAACAGGTGAATAGACTAGAAAGGAGGGGGTTACTGGATGCAGCAGCCTTATATACAAGAAAACAAGATTATTATATTGACTAGCCTTAATGTTATGGAGCCCATACCTAAAAACTGGTGTAAAGCAATAAAAGGGTGCTGTCCATTGTAACTACATTCCAGCTGCCATTTTTCTAAATCAGGTTAAAAAAAAAAAGCCAACATGGCAGCAGTACAAAAAAAAAACATCAAAAGCAGAACTTCTGCAACAGAAGGCTGTGAATACTTACCTGTCCTGTAGATGGTAAGTCCAAACATCTCCAAGAGTGCCAAATCTTTGTGTCCCCTGACACACATTGTGCTTGCTCCAATTGACCCCTATATTATTACAAGACACAGTAGTGATTCAGGGGGTGGCAGGAGAAACCATTAAGCACTGCTGGTATGCAGGCAAACCATTTCTTTATGGAGCTGGCATTGTGCGCAAGAGCACAGTCATATTGAAACATGGCCTTCACCAATCAGTTGCCACAAAGCAACCTTCACTGAAAACATTTGAAATATTTTAGAGAAGTGACCACATTTGGCTATACAGTGTATTAAAATAACATAAACCTCTAACATCCTAATGCCCAACCTGCAGCTCGGAGGTCCCATGCAGCCTGTTGGCACTTGTGTGGTTCTCAGAGCCCTGTAGACAGTAGTCTGTGTGTTGTTGCTCACCAAAGTCAGTGAGAAAAAAATAAACTTAAGACTGTGTTAGATTTAAATGCTTTGGTTTATTTCTTACTTTTTCTATGTTGTCCACCCCTTTTTTCTTTTAAACATTTTATGCTTTTAAGATGATCTCTAGCAGCCTCATGTAACATTTCTCCAGTCTATAACTGTCTTCTGTTGCATCTCTGCAGTCTCTGACAGCTTTCTGTAGCATTGCATTTACTGAATATTATGTGTGTCACTTTGCTGATTTCAGGGGCCGCACTTGTAGCCTCCTTATCTGACTTTTCTGCAGCCTCTAATGCACACTTTGAAAAGCTTACAGTGTGCAGAGAAATCAGAGTAAACAATTTCAGAACAGGAGAGGATCGTGTGCAATGATGCAAGACTGAAGGTGAGGATAGAGTTCAGCTTTTAAAGTTGAGGCACTGATTTCTGTAACCTGCTGATGGATCAACATTTTGTCACTAAATGTTCAGGACAAAGAAGCACAAATATACATGATGACAGGTCCTCTTACCTTCCCGCAGTGTCTGCACTTCCCTTCTTGCCGCCGTCGATGTACCCAATGATGCCTCACCAGATTCTGCTGGTTAGAACAACAAGAAAAATGTCTGACCTGAGGAAAAACCATTAGAGCTTGGGTCAGGCTTGAATCCAGGGTGGGCACGGACAGCAACACACAGAGGTGGACTAAGGACTGTGGGAGACAAGCCTATATCCTGGTGGTACATGGACCATACCAATATGGGTCCATGAACAGCCAGTTTTTAAACAAAAGCAAGAAGAAAGCAACTATTTTTTATAATCAGATTTTGTAACTGAACATAATTTTTTAATTTTACTGGTAAACAAAAAAAATAGCACACTTATTACAACAAAACCATACACCTCCAATCTATACTTTATCCTCCTTTTCATCCCCAGTTACTATCAGAAACAACAAAAGAAGAATACAAAAATCTAACTAACAACAACATGCACAAAATATTGTCTATAGAACAAGATGCATTCCTGAGCAGATTCCCTGCACTACAAAGGACCATTTATGAGCTTCACATACTTTGATATTTAAAGGGTAAATCCGCCCAAAACTGCCATTACTGACACATACAGAGTTAATCCATCTGACAGTGTCTTTCTCTTGGTGAGTCTATTGGTGAGATCTCTGTGCTTAGTTTCCAGGTCCATTTTTTTGGCAGACCATCCCTTGTGTCCGCCCTGACCATGTTTTATTTTAATCATAGCACACAATGGTAATTCTGCGAGGCCTTGGTGGTAATTCTATGTTTCCGGCACGCTATTCCCTCTGGCGACGCCCCGGCGACTAATGGCCCACCACGACCCTTGAAGCTGCGGTCTCTCCTACCGGCCGCAACAGATCACGGTTGAGCACAAACCACGCAGGGCCGACGATCGCTACCGCAACGCCCCGCTCGACTCTGATGACGATCCTTCAACACCTTCAGCGCCTCACGACGCCGAGCCCTCAGCACCCGACGCCTGGCCTCAACAACCCCAGTCACCGAGCCGCCAGCATCACCAGTCGCCGTGCCTACCATCACCCCCAGCCATCGCACCCTACGACCCCTCCACTAGCCGAACCACCGTACCCACTGAAGACATGCCACAGCACCCATGGTCGCCAGCTTACTGCACCCACAGACTGCTGCCAACCAGCTGCCGCCCTCCACCCTCACTCTACCCCTACAGAAGGACTCAAATGACTCTCCCATGGTAACACAGATTCCCCACACACCTTGCCCTGACCTGTATCCCTTCACCTCCCCTGACCCAACTGTCACCGCACCCACCCCAACATGCCTCCTGCACTCCTCCTCCTCATTTTCCTCTCCACCATCCCAAAAATCGCCTCCCTCTACCCGCCTACCCCCCCAAAACAGCTCTACATTGCCCCTTCACTACTCCCCTCTCCCCACTACGGCACTCACCACCTCCTCCTGCTACTCCACTCCCCCGTCGACCCACGTGCCACCACTATCAGACCCACACGCTCCTACACTTCCCATTCCCATGCCACCTTCCTCACCCTTCTCCTTCTCCTATCTGCTGGGGACATCTCCCCGAACCCTGGCCCCTCGCCACCTCACCCCCCCTCTAGGGACCCCCCTGCTCCCGCCAGCTGCCGTAACCCCCTCAACCTCATATCTGTGCCCCTTCTCCCCGCATCCATCCCCCCTCTCTCGGTTGCACTCCTGAACGCCCGCTCGGTCTGCAACAAACTTACTGCCATCCATGACCTCTTTATCTCCCGCTCCCTTAACCTCCTAGCCATCACCGAAACCTGGGTACAGGCCACTGACTCCACCTCCCCTGCGGCACTCTCCTATGGAGGTCTCGTCTGGTCCCATTCACCAAGACTGAGCGGTCACAAAGGTGGTGGGGTCGGCCTGCTCCTATCACCGCTGAGCACCTTCCAGGTCCTCCCTAATCCTCCCTCCCTAACTTTCTCCTCCTTCGAGGCTCACTGCATCCGGCTCTTCTCACCCACCCCCCTAAGGATCGCAGTGATCTACAGGCCTCCCGGATCCATACCCCGCTTCCTGGATGACTTCGCTGCCTGGCTTCCCTTCTTCCTCTCCTCTGAGCTACCTACAACCATCATCCTCGGGGACTTCAATATCCCCATCAATGACAACAGCCCGGCTACTTCCCAATTCCTCCACCTAACCTCCTCCTTCGCGCTCACACAGCACACTCAATCCTCCACCCACATCATTGGGAACACCCTGGACCTCGTCTTCTCCCACCTCTGTACCCTCAACCAGTTCTCTAACACCCCCTTCCCTCTCTCCGACCACCACCTCCTCACACGTTCTCCATCTCCCCTTCCCCTAACTCCCCCCCCCCCCCCAGAGCGCCAAACCATCACCAGCCGCAACCTTCGCAACCTGAACCCGGCCCCCCCCTCCACTCAGCTGCCGACCGCCTACACGACAGCATCCTTCCACTGTCTTGTCCTGACCTAGCCACTAACACGTACAACGACTCACTATCAGCTACCCTAGACTCTCTGGCACCCCTAACCACACGCTACATCAAACCCAGACCGCTCCAACCATGGCAGAACGACCACACTAAATGCCTCAAACGTCGCAGTCGTGCGCTGGAGAGACTATGGCGCAAAACCAGGTCCCCCCGTTCATTCTCCCTCTACAAATCTGCCTTCCTCACTTACACCTCCTCCCTCCACGCCGCCAAGCAGGCTTACTTCGTAAACCTGATTAACACCCTCTCCTCCTGCCCTCGCCGACTCTTCTCCACCTTCAACTCCCTGCTCTCTCCCCCCCCTCCTCCACTCAGTACCTCACTCACCGCCCACGAGATTGCCACTCATTTCCACAATAAAATTGATGCTATCCGTCAGGACATAGTCAACTCGCAATCTACCTCCCCACCTAGCCTCCCCCCCCCTATCTCCCCCTCATCTCTTCCCTCCTCTGACCTCGCAACCGCACTGCCCCCCTCCACACCCAAGACCCCCCGCTTACCGTAACCCCACCAGCTCTGCACTCCTTCAGCCCCGCTACCACTGAGGAAGTCACCAGGGTCTTCTCTGAAGCCCGCCTCACTACCTGCCCCCTAGACCCTATCCCCTCTCGACTCCTCCAGTCACCCCCCTCTTCCCTCATCTGCTCCCTCACCCACATCTTCAATCTCTCCCTCTCTACCGGCGTATTCCCCTCCCCCCTAAAGCATGCGCACATCACCCCCCCCATACTCAAAAAGCCCTCCCTGGACCCCTCTGACCCAAACAACCTCAGACCCATCTCCCTGCTGCCACTCACTTCCAAACTCCTGGAGCGCTTAGTCTACAACCGCCTAAGCGCCCACCTAACTGACAACAACCTCCTTGATCCACTACAGTCCGGCTTCCGTCCCCTACACTCCACCGAAACCGCCCTCCTCAAAATCACCAACGACCTACTTACCGCCAAAGCCAAAGGCGACTACTCTGTCCTCCTCCTCCTGGACCTCTCCGCGGCCTTCGACACAGTTGACCACCCCCTCCTCCTTAATAAACTATTCTCCCTTGGCGTCAGAGACACCGCTCTCTCCTGGTTCTCCTCTTACCTATCCCGACGCTCCTTCAGCGTTTCCTACAATGGTGCCACCTCCCCTTCCCTCCCCCTCTCTGTTGGGGTCCCCCAGGGCTCTGTCCTTGGACCCCTTCTCTTCTCCATCTACACCTCCTCCCTTGGCAAACTCATACACTCCCACGGCTTCAACTACCATCTCTATGCTGATGACACTCAAATTTACCTCTCCACCCCTCACCTCACCTCCACTTTCTCCGCCCGCATCACTCACCTCCTAAACGACATCTCTGACTGGATGTCGCTCCATTTCCTCAAACTCAACCTCTCCAAAACCGAGCTTCTCGTCTTCCCTCCTGCCCGCGCCCCCCCCCCCCCCATCCTATCCATCACTACTAACATCACCACCATCAATCCCGCCCCGCAAGCCAAAGTCCTTGGGGTCATTCTGGACTCTAACCTCTCCTTCCAACCTCATGTCAAATCACTGACAAACACATGCAGGCTCCACCTCCGCAATATCGCCAAAATACGCACCTTCCTTACCCCAGACACCGCTAAACTACTTGTGCTCCCTGATTATCTCACGCCTTGACTACTGCAACTCCCTCCTCACCGGCCTACCCCAGTGCAAACTCTCCCCGCTTCAGACCATCCTGAACTCAGCTGCCAGACTCATCCACCTCACCAGCCGCTCCACCTCTGCCACCCCCCTCTGCCTCTCCCTCCACTGGCTCCCTATCGCCCAACGCATCAAATTCAAACTACTCACTCTGACCTACAAAGCCATTCACAACACTGCCCCTAACTACCTCACCGACCTGATTCCCAAGTACCACCCTACCCGTACCCTTCGCTCTTCACAGGACCTCCTTCTATCTTGCTCCCTGGTCTCCTCCTCACACGCACGTCTGCAAGACTTCTCCAGGTCCTCCCCCATCCTCTGGAACTCACTACCCCAATCCATCAGACTGTCACCTTCCCTCCTCACCTTCAGGCGCTCCCTGAAAACCCACCTCTTCAGGGAAGCCTACCCCACCCTCACCTAACTGCTGCTCTCCTTCATTCCTCTACCACTCCATCCCCCACAGCCACTTCCTCCTGTACCACTACCCCCTCCCTCCCAGATTGTAAGCTCGAAAGAGTAGGGCCCTCTTACCCCTCGTGTGCTGTTCGTAGCTGCTGTAATGTTTCATGTATTGTCCCCCCCTCTATTGTACAGCGCTGAGCAAACCCTTTGGCGCTATATAAACTCAATGTAATGTAATGTACAGACTGGACAAACCTCTGGATCAGGTGACAAAAACGGGACAACTGTCAAGCAAATTAGCAACACAATTAGTTGCAAGTCAGGTTGCCTCTTAATGAACGCTTTTCTACAGAATTGCAATGCATTTGCAGCCCTGCATCTAAATTCATGAGCAACCATCTGCATCAGATTTGCAAAGTCTGCAACAGATTTATTACTAAAAATGTGACAGATTTTCACTCTAAACTGCACATCTACAAGTCTCAATCAAACATATTTAAGATGTGGTTAGGGTCAGGTTTCATTCTGGCACAGTACAACTTTAGAACAGCCAAAGAAGGAATTGACTCAAGATGTAATCTTGTAATAAATTTGTTGCAGTGTTTAAAAAGCAGTTTGCACAGAGCCTTTTTTCTTGTCAATGGACATTTAATACTCAAAAAAACAAGAAAAAGAATACTCTGGGATTTGGGTAACTAAATTATTTCATCCACCCTGGACTTCTACAAGAGAATATCAATAACATTCAAGGTATTTGTTTCCAACAATAAAATTACTGTTGTAATTTTCTTACAATATGCAATTAGCCTGTAACACTAAAACAACAACTAATAAAATAAAGGTAGTACTAATTACCAACTAAAAAGAAAATTAAAATTAAAAAATAAATTAATGTAGAATTCTAGGCAAAATAAAAAATTACATTGTATATGCTGCAGTCTGTCTCTAACAGTAACACAGCAGTTTTTGTTTTTCAGAGTCCCGTCTGTGACATAGTTTAATTACCTGCTGATCCTGCCAGTAGATCTGTTACTTTTCCCCTTCCTGTAACAGGCCAAGCTGTCCAGCAAAAGTGGCAGAAGTAAAGCTGGAACAAGCCATAAAACACTTGCTGGAGGCTGCTTCCAAGGGTAAGATTTTATTTATATGGTTTAAACATTTTTTCCCAAACGAAAAAAATAATCCACTACTGTTACTGCTTAAAAATGTTACCTAGAGATTTTGTTTGTTTGTCTTTAAAATTAAAGTCCATTTAAACCTACATGTTTAGCGGAAAAGGCTGACAACACTTCTGTGTGATTTTACTGCTGAACGAGCAGCATTGTCACCATGTAACAGGAAGTGGGAATAATAATAATATAATATAATAATAGATCTACTGGCAAGATCACCAGGTACAAAAACGGTGTAAGGGGGACACAGAGAAACAAAAATAGACAGCCTGTATCATATATGTAACTTTTTTATTCTGCCCATAGTTCCACTTTAAAGCAAAGCTATCACTTGCTCAAACTGCTTAAGTTTAGTTAAGAATTTATTAAAGCCAGTTAAAGAATGCATGTATCTTTGTTAATCGTTCAGAGTTTCTGGGACCCTAGAGCGTAGGGTGCTCAATATGCAACTACTGACTTGCAGCCCTGAAGTCAGAGCTCTGGCACAATCACATGAGTCTCTGTAAAATACTCCTGTTTGAGAGGCACGCAGTGAGAGCTTGTTACTACTCAACTTCCACAAACTTGGGTAACTCAAAGGTAAAAGACAGGATACAAAATTAATAAGCAAAGGTTAAATTAATTCAAAACAGTAGGCAAATCCAGAGATATAGGAAGCTGCTGTTATATGCAAATCTTGACTTTTCTTTAGAGCTGATATTAGCCCCTCCCAGTTCCTTGAGTTTCCTACTGGTTCTTTAACGTGATAAATGGATTGCCCACCTGACTGATCTGGTATACTTTACGCTTAAACAAATAACAGGTTTACTTGTAACCTAATATGGCTATGCTGTAATGAATACCCTAAAACATGTAAAAATTAAAGTGGACCTTTCAGGTTGAGTTAAAAATCCCCCCTGCTTTGATGCAAACCACCTACAACCCACCCCACCACCACCACCGCAACAATCAGACAACATTTGTTAGTCTTTTTTAGCATGAAAAGAAAGAAACAGCTTCCCATATTGCTTTTTGTCAGCTGTAAGCCATTTTTCTTCAGGCAGAGATTATGAAATGCTTTTAGACCAACATTATTATGGGAACTAATCTTTCCAGTCACCTCCTCACATAACACAACCACATGAGAATAATAGATGTCTGACTGTGTATGTGGCAGCAATTGTCTGCCCTGGTCTGCATTCCGGTTCAGGCTGCAGCAGTGATACTGGAACTAAAGACACTGGGGAAATTAACCCTCTCTAAATATTCTGGTGACTGCTGGCACCAGGACAACAAGTGATGGGAAATCCAAAATGTTACAATTCTAGAGCATGAATTGAAGGGAAATCTTCCAATGGGGGGGCCTGTTCCAGGTACAACTAAGAGGAGGGGAATTCTCCAAGCTAGACAGAGACAGCAAAAAAAAAAAAAAGGTTCAAACTATTCTCTACTTTACTAAAAATTAAAAATATGTTTTGCCGTCAAATACACTTTATCTGTAATTTTGTTCACTTTCTGCCTGAAATTCTACTCTAATGACATAAGTCAGTCCTTTCAAAATGTTGTGCCCATTACAGGGGCTCTCAAATATATTTTTTATTCCATTTATACCACTTTGTACAACAAAGGTGGTAAATCTCCAAGGCTAGAATTGGGGGTGGGGCAAAAACTACAGTCAGAAAATCAAAACAATTACATTTTTCATTGTCTACCAAGAGCTGAAACACCATCTTGGGGTAACAATAGGGTATACAGAAGGCTCACACACAAAAATATAGTGAATGGGTATCCCTACTTTAATATCCTTTTATAATGTCAGTAACAATGTAGCTACAAGAAAGGCTAATACACACAGAATCTCAACAGGACGTTTATGAAAAAGTGTATAAAAACGAAGGAGATTTACTAAACATGGAGGGTGCAAAATCTGGTGGAGTTCTGCAAAGAAACCAATCAGCTTCTAACTTCAGCTAGTTCAATTAGGCTTTGGCAATAAAACCTGGAAGCTGATTGGTTTCTATGCAGGATTACACCAGATTACAATATTACTACGCTTTTTTAATGGTATGGTTTCCATAAAGCTTTTCAAAGCTCAAAAAAATCTACAGTGAACTATTTTCTTTTTCTACTCCTATACCATATACACACATACTTGTAGAACATGTTTTGGAAATCAAAATATGTCACTCACATTGAGGAGCACTCAAAAGCCCCTTGAATCTCAGATTTTAACTCCTCTGTGTAGGAGCCCAAAAATGACAATGACACCATGGATTCAATTAAATATATACTTAGATATATATTTATATCTATATACAGTATATATCTGTTTACTTTTCTTATTTATTCTAAGGTGGCTTTAGTTTTGTGGTCCTTTCATACACTTACCTCCCTCAGAGCCCGTGAGGTTGCATCACGAAAAGTTGGCTTGCATCTAAAATTAATCTGGAGTTTTTACAAAAAGAGGAAAATTAGGTCATCTATTAAAAGCAAACCATTGGAAATGCATTTTTAATAGCTTTGATATTTTAAAATAGCACTCCTTTCTATTTTAAATGATTTTAATTATTTCAAAATTAGAATCCTTACCTAACACAACTTACCTTTGTTTTGTATATAATAAATATATTTATTTAATGCATGCAAACTCCTGTAAAATGTCATTGATTTAAACTAACTCTAATGTTACTATATAATGCCAGATAAACATTTATAATCAAAACTTTAACTACAAGGTTAAAATGATGTTTACTTTGAAAGTTTCTTTACAGAAATTGGAAGAATGCCATTTTTGATCTCCTTCTGAAAATGCATGTCTCTGACTTCAGCCATTCAGTTGGCCACAGACCTGGAATAAGTATGCAGCCATCAACCAAAGAACTGAATTGCATTCAGCCATATGATGACCAGGTAACTAGCATTTTCAGGAAATCAATAATTCTACACCTATTTTTTCCACATGGTAGGCTTCCTTTAAAGAGAATCTGAATAGGTATGACAGTTTCTCTTGTTAGGGCATCTCACACCCACTGATAATCAACTTTGCTGTGTTCCCTTACTGCTTCATTCCTCTAATGGTGCCATGGGCCTAGTCTCTGTGCAAGCTCTGTGTTGGACACTGTTGGAGCTTACACAGGGTTAATGAGCTCCCTACTTACTGCTATGTGACAGTGTTTGGACCTAGCAATTGGTCACTCATCCTGGGAGGAAAATGAGAAGGTGAAATGCTCCCCCATAAAAAGCACATTATTTCGGAGGGCTCCTACAGACAAATGGAGCAGCACTTGAATGCAGGGAAGGTATCACTGGGTGAGGTGCCATGACAGAAGAAGCTTATTGTTAATAATTTTACCTTTCAATCCTGGCGATATCACATATGTATACAGCAATAAATTAAACCTTGGTGATTGTGCCACCCTTGAGTCCTCATATCTATCCTGCATGCTTAAGCCCTGAAAAAGTGAAAGTCTTTGCATTTCTATAATGTGTTCAATCCTCAAATTTGGACCGCCTGTTTTGGGTCATCACGCTTTTGTTAACAGCAGCCTCACCAGATCTGGTGCACCTTACTTCTATTTGATTAATCTACTATTAATATAATTCCAGCGCCCCATTTCTATATGTCCATAAAAATAGAACATTTTGTTTTCTGCTGAGTAGGTAAAGTGACTGGTTCCTTTTAAGCACGATATATGTTAGTTAGAAAATAAGAGGTGTTCTACAAGGCTGACCAGTTTAGAGGGAAAGAATAAAAGTTCCCGGTTATGGCCAATAGATGGGGCCCTTATACCTTTTCTAGCTGATCCATGCAGGCAGTGTGGACGACAATTTTACAAGCTGCGCATTTTCTCCGCATGGCTGACTTCTGGTGGAAAAGGAAACATAAACACAGTGTTAACATGATCAGCAGTGAGTTTATATATATGTACCAGAAGTGTAAGAATGTCTAGCATCGGAGAAAACTAAGCTACATTTTCTCAAATAGACCAGGCATGGGGTAAGCATGGTCCCCTCTATATCCTATTCACTCATCGTTCTGACACAAGATAAGATAGCTCACAAACCTTATTAAACAAAAGTGTCTTTTTCAGAATTAGCTATTTCTGTAGGAACAGGTTGGTCCAACCCTTAAATGAGAGTCAAGTCAATGAGCAATTGAACAGTATCCCCAATCCTCTTAAGGTGTCCTACTAAGACATTAGTTGAGAATCTCCTCTATTGCTCTTGGAGGTTTAAATTGTTGGGACTGGTTAAGAAAATATGTGTGGCCACTACTGCTAACACCAAGATCATCCATTCCAGTGGCTAAAGAAAATTATGCAACTTCTCCACTTTTCACCTCCACAGCCTGAACAGAAAGACTCTTTCGACCCAAGCATGCACATCCAACTGTTCCCTGATCTCTATGGGCATCTTAAAGGAAGTTTGTGTTTTGTCCACACAGAGCAAAGAACCCGTTTCCTTTACAACCCCCTGTAGCATACACTCCCCTTTTCTGCTCTCTCCTGTTGCTCCATTCAGCTGCCAAAAAAAAGAGGAAAAAAAAAAAAACACTGTCCGCTTCTGCGTATGACGGAACATGTCACCCATTCCATATAACACTGACGTTTAGTGATTGGCCCAGCGCTGTCACAGTCAGCCCTGTGTAAACTCTGATTGGAAAACTGACTAGAACCTACACATTGCTATTGTTCTTCACTTTTGGCCATTGAATTAGATAAAGCACAAGAAAAGCACAGCTGCATTTAAATCAGAGTGGACAGTCTAATCTGGCCATACATATTTCACTCTATACAATCCACAAAATTTAGCATAAAAAGTTTTGTGCAAGAACAAAAATATCTTAACATCAAAATGCATAAACAATTAACACAAAGGATTGTTAGGTGTGTGGCCATCTTTGCAGTCTGCTGAGATTTCATGAAAAAGTTTGTATTGTGAGAGAAAACTAGATACAGAACATAACAAATATATACAGTGTCCCAAAAGCCTGGTAGCATAGGTAAAATGTATTGATATGTGGCTGTTGTACCATGTACTTCTATAAAAAAAAGTATGCTGTTCTCTTTGTATTGCTTCCTTTGTGTGAAATCCCCTGGTGTTCCTGCCAGTCCCTCTAATTTCTTAATAAAAACTGACCACGGTAGGCATGAGACCACAGTATCATCAGTGTTCTGGCTGTGCTGGGAACTCCTCCAATGATCTGGATTGTGCTGACATGACCCTGCCCCCCCTCAACAGCCATTCACTGGGAATATTAGTGTACTGCTGTTCCTCCTCCCCTTGCTCTCTGAATTACTTATGCAGCTGAGGCCAGAGGGTATGTGATTACTAACGAAAACGAAAAAGGAACAAAATATATTTATAACGTTTTCTATGCACAAATGTTTTGCCTTTCATTTCTATTTTAAGCTAAATGGGTTGTTTTACAAGCTGAAGGTTGTTTACATATACTTTAATATCACTTGCTCCTCCCTTTTAAATTGAACGTTCTTGTGAGCAGAGTCCTCCTAACCCTATTGTCTTGTATTGTAACTGTACTATCTCCCTTTATATTGTAAGACGCTGTGCACACTGTTGGCGCTATATAACTCCTGTATAATAATCATTTTAAGTTCCAGCTAAGGAAAGCCATCTAATTAAGAAAAACATTGCAACATACAGAGGTATGTTTCTCATTTCATTACTTTAAAATACATGGCCCAGTTATTCTTTCAACAAATATCCCCTCCCAAGCCATAATGTGTGGATCAGTGTGAAAACGGCCTTCAGCTGACAAGTATGGGTAGTTTTCAGGCTAGTAATGTGCGTTCAGCTGGTTGACACTACTATTGAGAGGAAACGAGGTTTCCTCACTATAAAATAAATTTAATTCCCACTGTTGTAAGAACCACTTCCAAATACATAAATGTGTTAATTATAATATTATATGTAAATTGCATACAAAATATAAATGTAATAATACTGCGTCCAAGCATCAAAATATTGTAAAATCACCCGAAAAGCTGATACTTAATATTTATTAAATAAATTATATATCATACGTTAAATACCCCAAATAACAATACGTTCTTACCAAGTGAAAAGGAAAGAAAAAAAACCTATGAATAAAAAAAGTTAAACTTATGAGGCTCCTTTCACGCAAGTGGTCCATTTGAGTCCGCCTGTCCATTTTTCAGGTGGACCCAATCGGACCCTCCATTCTCCTGTATGGACAGTCAGTTGTAAACGTATTAGCTTTCATTTAGACCCAGCTACCTCCAATCCGATCCGGCAAAAACAAATGGAAAGGGATCTGTTCCCCTCCGTCTGGTTAGATCTGATCAGAGGGCAGTCGGGTGTAAACAGACAGCCGCTTTGTTTACATCTAACTGCCCATAGAGGAGAGTGGACTGTGTCCATGTCTGCTCTGCATAAGCTGAACTCCACTCTGCTCAGCAGGGGGTCAGTGGACAGATCCCCTCCGAAGAAAAAAAAAACAGATCCGACCCGTGTGAAAGGGGTGTGAACCCCGGTTCACACTAATGAAATTTCTAATGCATTCCAGAACGCATGGAATCACATGAAAAGGGAAAGCACATGAGTTCCTATGGATGCCATTCACATATATGCAGTGTGAACCCAATGCAATTTAAAATAGGGTCCTGTGCGAGTTTAGTGCAGTGTGATTTTTTAGCTCCATAGACTTGAATTGAAACTGCATCTGTGGACTCTAGGAGATTTCAGTACCAACTCACTCTGGAGCTGCTCTTGAAATCGTCCTGCAAAACGGACTCAACTTGCACCGCATCAGTGTGAACCTAGGATAAATCATAAAAGTGTCCATATAACCCGGGTATGTGACTCAAAGTGCTCAATTTCTTTTTTAAATAATAATAATGTGCCACCACCTCAATTAGAGTTACACTCACTAGATAACATGACCTCCAAATTATAGGCAGGTCAGATAATGCATGTGGAGATATCTAATATTCCATACGCCTGTCTGTGTCATCACCATGCAGTTCCTAGACTTGTTGCACTTTATAGGGATAGAAATGATGATTTCTAATAATTTGATGCTTATGGATCCAGACTTTTGGGACACCCTGTATGTATAAGGTCTTTTTTTACATCTATGGATACTTTAACACAGCTGTCAACTGACCATACAGTTTCCCATGAAACAACACCATAAAAACTTTCCTTGGTATATAACAAACTGATAAGAGTCATCCTTTGGTGTCTGCTGTTGCCATGACAACACATCGTTCTTAATCCTAAGTGACCATTTCATGCATCTACAGGGTTTTTTTTAACCACAAAAAAAATCCACATCACATTTTACTAAAATAGCTCAAATTAGAATTTCCATATCAGTTAATGGGAAATCCTCTTTAAAAAAAAAAAAAAACACTGAAAATTATATCAATTGTCATTTTACTAAAGTAAGATTTAATTACAATGCATGTTACTTTTCTTTTTTTTCTGAAAAAAAAAGAATCATTCTCTTCCATAAGCGAAATTGCTGATTTATATACAGAAACATACTTAATCCTTGCTAACGCAATGCTTCTGGGGGCTCCCAGGGGCCCGGCGATCAAGCAGGACATTTTGAATTCTAACCTTCCCCCTTCCTCATCGCTGTCCACAGACACAGTAACACAGGATGGCAGGACCATCCCTAGGGGGAGAGGACCAAACTCGTACACATTAATTCTTCTCCATGGCAACCCACGTTACCATGGCAACTGCCTAAAAATCCGCAGGTCGATATTGGGGGCTAATTGCTCGGCACGTTCACTGCAGGGAATGAGCGAAGATGAATAGTTATAAACTTTTATAAAACTGATATGGTTTTACTGCTGGTGCAAAATCAAAAAAGTGGTTTGTCTCCAGGTTAAAGTGCCCCAGGGGCGAATGTGACAAATACGCTTTGACTGCTGTTGTAACTGCTGAGTTATGTTATGTTTTTACAATTTAAAGTGGAACTGAAGCCAACAGCTAGATACATGTACAGTTAGGTCCATATATATTGGGACACAGGCACTGTTTTAGTTTTTCAGGTATTTATCAAAAAGTATTCAAGCTATAGTTACATAATGGATATGGGTGGAAAGTACACACTGCCAGGTTTAATTTGAGGGTATGTACATCCGAATTGGAGGAAGGGTTTAGGAATTACAGCTCTTAAGAGTAGCCATCCCCCCTTTTTCAAGAGACCAAAAGTAATTGGACAATTGAATCAAAAGCTGTTTCGTGGCCAGGTGTGGGCTACTCCTTCGTTATTTCTTCATCAATTAAGCAGGTAAAAGGACTGGAATTGATTCTAAGTGTGGTATTTGCATTTGGAATTTATTGCTGTGAACCTACATCATGCGTTCAAAGGAGCTGTCCATGCAAGTGAAACAGGCAATTGTAAGGATTCAAAAACAAAACAACTCCATCAGAGAGATAGCAGCAACATTAGGAGTCGCCAAATCAACAGTTTAAATAGCGAAACCAGTACTGCGCAATGGTAGGAACTGCTGCTAACACCGATCACACTATATAGGGAATGTGTGAAAAGCAGGTCAAAGACATAGGGGTGTAGCGTTATTCCTAGGATAATGTTACTGCTTCCCCCACCAGAGGGGTAGGTGAAGTAGATGGTGTACTATGCGATAAACTCAGATGCCTATAGTGAAAGAAGCCCCCCGTGCTGCAAAACACCTTCTCCCTTCTGGACTAGTCAATGAGAGAGGCGGGGGTATATCCTATGGAGCCACTCTCTGCCAAGGAGTGGGCCAGGTGCGGTAAGTAAAACCACAGGTGCCTCCTCAATCAATTTCACATCTTGAATTTAAGGAATGAGGTATAAAAACTTCATCCCTCTACCCAAAGGAC